AGCAGAGGGAGAGGGACAAGCAGACTCTGTGTTAAGTGTGGAGCCCGACCTGAGGCTTGACCTCAGGACCCTGAGACCATGACCTGAGCTGAAACCAAGTCAGACGCTTAACTGACTGAGCCACCCAGTCACCCCCCAAAAGTAGAATTTCTAAGTCAAATGCCAAAGTCCCAAAGAGAACCCACCTCAGTAGGAAGAAATTCTGTGGCCACTTTCCCCTTCGTATAAACATATCTAAAACAGATATAAAACATAACTTTAGTATAACTTGAGTGCTCTCCTCTGCCTCTGGCCAATCTGATGCTTATGTCTCTTGCGTGGTAGGTGACACCAGAGCCTAATGACACTAAAATAAGGCAAAATATTTTCCAACATTATCTCCGATTATTAATGTTCTAAGAATCTCTAATCAGGTCAGGCTATATCCCATTTCTCAGTCTGTAAACAAACATTCCTCTGGGCCCTCTATCTGGCCAGCATGCTTTCCTTGTTAATCTGCTAAATCAAATTGCCTCTATAAACTGTATCATACCACTTTCTGCAAACAGATGCAACTAAAGTGTCTTTTGAATGGAAATTTTCCACACTTTCTACCTTAACTAAGGGCCTTAACCCAGAACCTTCTGTGCTTCCTGTTCCAGAAACCACTGCCAAGCAAATCCTTGACTCTACACTTCGTACCCTTTGGACTTAATACACCAAGGAAAGCTCATTCATTTGCCTTACAACTAAAATTAAACCTTGTCAAGCTTCTTCGTTAACTGCCTCGATTTCCATTATAGCATGAGGCTAGACAAAATATGCCCCTCTAACCACTTCTTTTCCAAAGCAAACTAATGATAATCCAAACTAAAAGCCCTTGTAACACTGTAAAAAACAAACAACAAACAAAAAAACCAAAAACACACACACAACAAAGCTACTTACTATTATAGGATCATTAATTGGTAGATGACCTGGTATAACCATCTTCTTTTCCAATTTCTCCAAGAAAGACACTGTATCTCATCATGTCCACTTAAAATTAAGTTAGTACAGAAACATATCTTTTGGATTTTTCTTCTCCATCTTGAAAGTCTGTTTGCCCTTCTATTTCTTTAGTGTATTTACTTATGGGCAAGAAGGAATTTCCTAACCTTATTCTTTGCACTTGCACACATAAGAGTTCTCTGCCTGACATGGGTCCATTATTTGGGGCATTTTTACAGACTCGACTATATCCTCTCAAAATTCATTTGCTGAAGCCCTTATCCCCAATGTGACTGTTACCTGGAGGTAAAAAGGTAACTTGGGTTCAACAAGGTCATAAGGGCGGAGACTTAATCTGACAGACCGGCTATTCCTGTAGGGGGAAGAAACACCAGGACTCACGGCTCTCTCTCTTTGCACACAGAGGACAGGCCATATGAGGACACAGTGAGATGTCTGTCTGCCAGCCAGGAAGAGGGATCTCACCAAAAACCAACTCTGACAACACCCACTACAACCTATTCCACGGAGCAGCGAAGGTGAGCTTTCCCAAACAGAAATAGTGTGGTTTCTAATCACATTTAGAATAAATTCCAAATTCATAAAGCCTTACCTCAGGCCTACTGCTTCTCTGACCCCAAATCGTAGTTGCAATAATTTCCTACTGTGTTAGGTTAAAACGCCGTAACGAAGTGTACGCTTAAGGCGATCACACTGCTAGCTGAGCCAAAGAGCAGGTCTATGACACCCGACAGTCAACCACTCCCTTAAAGTTAGCAGAGAAAATGCAGATGTTCGTGAGGAAAACTCGCCTCACATTCAACTCCTCAACTATGTCACTCACTAGTAAAAATCCATTCCAGAAAGAAGCAACCATGCACAGCAGATACTTTTTTTTTTTTTTTTTTTTTTTTTTTTTTTTTTTTATTTTTTAAAGATTTTATTTATTTATTTGAGAGAGAGACAGTGAGAGAGAGCATGAGCAAGGAGAAGGTCAGAGGGAGAAGCAGACTCCCCATGGAGCTGGGAGCCTGATGCGGGACTCGATCCCAGGACTCCGGGATCATGACCTGAGCCGAAGGCAGTCGTCCAACCAACTGAGCCACCCAGGCGTCCCCACAGCAGATACTTTAAGATGTGGGCCTCTGGGTGTGTAAGTAAGTACCATAACTCAGCACCAGCACCATCTTACGTACTTAACAACCTCCTCTGAGATTACAAATGCTTGTGTCCACTTTAACATGCGATGTCTATGAGGTTTACTCCAGAAAACCTTCAACTTGCTCGGGAGCTTGTTGAATTACTCACGATAGTCACTAGCTGTAGGATTCTAGAACAAATACTAAAAGTAAACGCACCCAACACAACATGCAAAGGAGCTGCTAGTTACACTACCTCTTTCTGAGAAATTCACAAAGTGCAGCCACATCCCCCTGAGAGGTCGGCTCACATCGAGCCATGCAGAGCCTCCAACCTGCTTTACACACACCTCTCCTCTCCCTTCCTTCCGCTCCCCAGTCTTGCCACAGCGAGCTGGACTGCTGGTGGTGTGCGGCCAGAAGGCAGCACCGACAGGTAGGCTGACACCCCACACAGTGGCCTGGCGTGAACACTATGCCCTCCAGAAATATCCTATATTGGATGGTGATGAACAGACCCCATCAAATCCTCTTATGAGCTCCGGGTGTGAAACAAAGAGAAAGAATCCAAGATAAATGAAAGATTCAAATACCAGCCATGAAACAGTCTAAATCGTGAGAAAGCAGAAGCCAGTGAGTCGTAGTCCAAACAGAATACCGCTGTGTCTCCATGTTGACAAAGCACTAGAGGGGCAAGGAACAAGGTGTTTATTGGCTAAAGGGTTGCCATAATCACATTCCTTGAGCTACATTACATCCTATTCAACACATCCCAATTCTCTGCCTTCTGAAATGGTTTCCTGTTCCTCATCTCTCCTTGGGGCTTTTCTGTAAATCTGCATTAACACCAGCATGCTCTGCTTCCTACAACACGATCCTCCTTCACATCCCCCCCAGACCTATTCTGTCTTCCCCAACTCCATAAACCACACACCATCCATCCAGCTGCTCAAGCCAAATACCTGGGAGGGTTAAAAAAAAGAAAAAACTGGAGGTGCCTGGGGGGCTCAGTCGTTAAGCGTCTGCCTTCAGCTTGGGTCATGATCCCAGCGTCCTGGGATAGAGCCCCACATCAGGTTCCCTGCTCCGTGGGAAGCCTGCTTCTCTCTCTTCCCCTTCCCCTGCTTGTGTTCCCTCTCTCAGTCTCTCTTTCTCTGTCAAATAAATAAATAAAATCTTAAAAAAAAAAAAACTTATTATGGATATTTTCAAACACTGACAAAATGAAGAGAACGGGACCTATTACCCAGCCCCAGGGAGTGTCAACAACTTATCAAGTATGCTTTACCTACTCCGCACCCTATCCCAGAGCAAAGAAGTTAACCCCTGATTTTTTTCTTTTTCCCTTCAGCCCTCACAACCAACTTACAGGAAAGTCTGTTATTTCTAAAACTTATCCCGAACCCATCACTTTCTCATTTTCACTGATATCACCTTAATGTAAGTCACCATCATTTCTCAACTACACTATCAGAACAGCCTCCTTACTGGTCTCCCTGCTTCCGCTTCTGCCCCCGAGTTCAATTCCAAAAAGCAGCCAAGAGGAACTTTAAAAATGAGAAATCAGCTATGTGTGGTTTCCTACTGCATTCAGAATAAACTCCAAATTCACAAAGCCTTACATCAGGCCTGCCTCCTTCTCTGACCCCATCTTGTAACCTCTCAGTCCTGCCAAGCCACACTGGCCTTCTTTATGTCCTCTGAACTCCAAGCTCCGTCCTGCCATAGGGCCTCTGCATGGATTGTTGCCCTCGCGTGCAATGCCCTTTGCCAGACTGTCACCTCGCTGGCTCCCTGCTGTCTTTCGGACCTCAGCTCCAGTGTCGCATCCTCTGAAAGGCTTCCGCCCAAGCTACGGTGGTCACTTGATCACTTGCTACCACATCACCATTTGAATTCGCCATATAACTTTGATTACCACCATTTGCTACTTTTACCTCTCTTTTTGAAAAAACTTCTCTCTCCTAAGTATAAGCTGCGGGGAACAGGGATGATAAGACCTTTCCAATACATACATTCATTCTTCTTTTTTCGTAAGAAATCCTGATTTCATTCAGTTATCAACTCCTCTCCTGTGCAGTGATGGGCCTCAGGAGAAACGGGACCCTTTATTGCTCCAGGCCCAGGGAATGGCAAGACAGATGAAAAGTCGGATATCCCTTGCCAGTGACTACTTCAGAAATGAGTGTCTGGCCTTATTCCGGCCAAGAGATATAGGTAAGGTTCATGAGAGGCTTCTGAAAAAGTTGTTCCCTGCTCCTGTAAGAATCACGGAAATCCTAGTCTTTTTCTCCCTCTGGTCATGAATGAAGAAACATGGTGGCATACCCCATCTATTGAAGAACAGTCTTTGGGATGAAGTCCACACTGCTGTTTATACAGAGGAGACAGAAGGAAAGAACTTATGTCCTTGATGACATAGTTGAATCTTCTAATCAACCAGCCTATGAGTCCATACTACCCTGCCTTCCTTCTATATAAGCTAATGAATGTCCCTGTGATTTAAGTCAGTTTAGGCTAGATTTTCTATTACCCAGAGGTAAAAATACATATAGGGACTTCATGTACCTTCTCATGCCTATACGTGCAACACCAAGAAAAATGCCTAGAATATAGTGGGCACTTACCAAAGACATGTTGAATGAGTAAGTGGAGAAGTCTAAAATAATAACTACTAAAGGAGAAAGAATCCTAAAGCAGTTATTCCCCATTTAGCCTCCTTAACTATAAAGTCAATAAATCTTTAAGAAAGGGATCTACTTCAGTACTAGTAAGTAAACACAAAGATGTTCTTGATGAAGGTTTTAAAGTGTCAACACTGGAATATGTCACCATCATTACAAATGGAAAATGCCACTTTCAACAAGCACGCATACATTTATGAAGACTTACAGGTTCTTGGGGTTCCGTCTCTTCCCATGCTCCCCAACCATCATCTTCCCAGTTTGATTTACCTATTATTAAAAAAGATGAAAATTGCTTACATGAAGTACAGAGCTTGAAATATTTTACTAAATATTTCCTCTAAACATAATAGAACCAACACCTGATATATAAATACTATGTAAATATATATGTCCTTAAAGATTTTGTGATCTAATGTAGCAAACACATTAACTGTAGTACACGGGGAGTACTGTAACAACTACCATAAAAGGGAGGAGTGAGAGACATAACAAAATACAGGGAGGAGTCACCTTAAACTAAGGCTTTAAAAAGCACCAAGGAACTTTTCAAATATACTTGAAAAAAAGGTCAACATGAACAAAGGCAGAAAGCGGTAACTCACATAGAGGAGTAATCAAGCAACAACACGTACTCGGCATTTCTATGTGTCTAACTGCTTTATAGACATTAATTCACTTAAGCATGACAAGAATTCTCTATCATCCCTTTACTACAGTGAGAAAACCAGGTTATTTAATTTATAAAGCCTGACCAAGATCACAGAGGATTAAGTGGCAGAGTGGGGTTGAAATCAGGGCTTCCAGAGTTCCAAAGCCCACGCTCACAAGTATTCTGCTATACTTTCTCCGCCTATGGTTTATGAAGAGGAATAAAAATTAGAAAACATGGGGCTTACAGTTAAGGCCAAAACAAGTTTATTATGTATTATTTTAAAATAGAAGCATTCCCTTGATATCAAAATTTAGAAGTTTTTTCATAATTTGGAAAATTACAGCTTGTTCTTTGGCAATCTAATTCACTTAGGCAATTTCTTTATTCTGCTAATTTCTCCAATACACCAAAAACAACTGCCTTATTGTGGGCTGATGGCAACTAAGCCATCCCATCTAGAGCTTTAAAAAATGCTGTTTTTCTTTTTTTGTTGTTGTTTGTTTTTTATTGTATTTTGTTAGTCACCATATAATACATTTTTAGTTTTTGATGTAGTGTTCCAAGATTCATTGTTTATGCACCACACCCAGTGTTCCATGCAATACGTGCCCTCCTTAATACCTACCACCAACCAGGCTGACCCAACCCTCCCACCCCCATCCCCTTCAAAACCCTCAGTTAGTTTCTCAGAGTCCACAGTCTCTCATGGTTTGTCTCCCCCTACCATTCCTGTTCGAGAAAGCAAAGTACCTCAAAAAGCTTATCACTCTTGGGGCGCCTGGGTGGCTCAGTGGGTTAAGCCTCTGCCTTCGGCTCAGGTCAGGGTCCCAGGGTCCTGGGATCCAGCCCCGCATCCGGTTCTCTGCTCAGCAGGGAGCCTGCTTCCCTTCCTCTCTCTCTGCCTGCCTCTCTGCCTACTTTTGATCTCTGTCTTTCAAAAAAAAAAAAAAAACCTTTTAAAAAAAAAAAAAAAGCAGTAGATGCTTATCACTCTAGGGGCGCCTGGGTGGCTCAGTGGATTAAAGCCTCTGCCTTCGGCTCAGGTCATGATCTCAGGGTCCTGGGATCGAGCCCCACATCGGGCTCTCTGCTCAGCAGGGAGCCTGCTTCCTCCTCTATCTCTGCCTGCCTCTCTGCCTACTTGTGATCTCTCTCTGTCAAATAAATAAAATCTTTAAAAAAAATAAATAAATAAAAAGCTTATCACTCTAAAATCCGTGATTCAATTTTAATATTGCTATAAAAAGAATGTATTGAAATACCACCACCTCGGAAAGACCACATAGAATTGCAAACCCTTCGTGGGGCCAGCGAATGATTCACTCCTTCATTCATTCATTCAACAAACACAGTATCTTTAGTGTGTTGGCCACTGTGCTAAGTGCTGGAGAGACAAAAGAAAATAAACCTTCAAAAAGCTTAGTTGGCGCACATAACCTTCACTGAATGCTGTACAATACTATAAAAAATGCATTATTTCTCTTCTATATTGGAATAAAAAGTACCTGACTCAATTCACAAATGACTCATACAATCAAACACAAGACAGTAGCAATTTGGATTTCCTGCCCCTGCAGAGACCCAGGATCTCTTAATGCCGTAATTCAAAACATCCAGGAAGAGAAGTCCTTGAAAAATACTTTATATAAGATATTTGTGTTCATGAAGGTTTTTTTCCATTTCTCAAGGCCCCTGACTGAGAAATTTCTATTAACAAGAGAGAAAAGGGGACTCAATCACACATCTTCTCCTATCACGGGAATACGTTTTCTAAAGAAGTCATGGTACAAACAGAGTTGAAAGGAAGGTGAAACAGAACTATTACTCAGGAATGTTAAAGATGTGTTTGAAGGTTGGCCTGGAATCCTAAGTCTATTTATAATACTGTAAGAAAATGCATTCTAGATCCTATTCAATTTAAAAATGGAAAACATTAATTCTATTTCACGGATTTTGAGAGAGAAAGCAAGAGAGCACAGGAGGAGAGGGAAAGGGAGAAGCGGACTTGCCGTTGAGCAGAAAGCCCAATGCAGGGCTTGATCCCAGACCTTGGGACCATGATCTGAACCAAAGGCAGACACTTAACCAAGTGAGCCACCCAGGCATTCCAACCTTTTTTTTTTAAAGGAAACATTTGCAAACTGGACACTACCCTTATATCTATTCCTAGTCTGTGCTGGTAATATAAATTTTGCAGCCTCCTTAGGTCTGTTGAAAATCTTCTGATACGATTTTGCAGGTTGCTATTTGACAGTTACTGTCGGCTGCTAAAAAGCGTTGGAATCTTAGCACTATACCAAGGTTATTTCTTATGCTTTCAAACTATGCAGCAGGCCAAGCACATTATTGAAAAAAAAAAAAAAAAAGAGGATGGTGTATATTAAAAAAATAGTTGATAAATGTCTAATCAAGCTGCCATTCAAGTAAACAATTTTATTCAGGCAGACATTCCCTCTGATAACTTTTCTATGAAGTGTGGCTTCTTCAGTTGATTCCATTATCAGTGTTTTTTAATTGATCCTTAATCAGGGTTGTGGATAACAAAAGCAATGTATTTAATATATATTAAAAAACTGTCCTTCAGATGCTGGCGAGGATGCGGAGAAAGGGGAACCCTCCTACACTGTTGGTGGGAATGCAGGCTGGTGCAGCCACTCTGGAAAACAGCATGGAGGTTCCTCAAAATGTTGAAAATAGAGCTACCCTATGACCCAGCAATTGCACTGCTGGGTATTTACCCTAAAGATACAAACGTAGTGATCCAAAGGGGCACGTGCACCCGAATGTTTATAGCAGCAATGTCTACAATAGCCAAACTATGGAAAGAACCTAGATGTCCATCAACAGACGAATGGATAAAGAAGATGTGGTATATATACACAATGGAATACTATGCAGCCATCAAAAGAAATGAAATCTTGCCTTTTGCGACGACATGGATGGAACTAGAGGGTATCATGCTTAGCGAAATAAGTCAATCGGAGAAAGACAACTATCATATGATCTCCCTGATATGAGGGAGAGGAGATGCAACATGGGGGGTTAAGGGGGTAGGAGAAGAGTAAATGAAACAAGATGGGATTGGGAGGGAGACAAACCATAAGTGACTCTTAATCTCACAAAACAAACTGAGGGTTAATGGGGGGGGTGTGGGGGGGTGGGATTATGGACATTGGGGAGGGTATGTGCTATGGTGAGTGCTGTGAAGTGTGTAAACCTGGCGATTCACAGACCTGTACCCCTGGGGATAAAAAGATATTATATGTTTATGAAAAATAAAATTAAAAAAATAAAATAAAATAAAATGCATCCAAAATCAAAAAAAAAAAAAAAAAACAACTGTCCTTATTTAACATCAATATGAACTGTCACTTTAAGACCTTAAGATTTATAAATTCTACATACTCATGACAAAATAACATTTTTTATTATCACTTACTATAAAGAAAAGCTGAAAATAGTTCACCATGATTGTCTTAGAATAACTAGATTAAAATTACCCTGGCCCATTAGAATTTTCTTTTTTAACTTTTTGTAATTTATAACAAAATCACGCATAGGAGATTTTGAATTTTAATACCAAGCTGTGGTATAAGTCAGTTTAGCAAAGTGTATTATAGAATAAGTGCACCAGAATATACAAATACACTGTTTGGGGTGGTTAGGGTCCAGTGTGAAAATTCCAAGCACTCCACAAAGCTCTAAATCATAAAGCCAATGGCACTTATCCAGTTTGCTTACTGAGCTAAGCAGCACTCATCTCAGTTAAAGCCCAGACTAAATGATAAGGTAATTTTAAGTGTTTCCCCCCACTTATTAAATAAGTAAGTACCAAGCACCTAAACTGAAAAGCAAATCTTTTAACTGTCATCAGCTTCCTATGTCTTTCATTTTGCTGAAGTCCAATTCAACAAAATTGATCAGAAAATTAAAAGAATGAGACTCACACTCACTGCCTTAATAAAACCAGTTACAGTCTCTTCTGCAGTTTCCTCTTTCTAGGTAGCCTTAAAAACTCCGCAAGAAGTGCAAATAACGAATTAGGGATGACTGACGTTTCAGGGTGGGCTTCAATCTGCACATCTGAAGCAAACTGTCCACGGATCACTCTCAACACACTAACTTCAAAGATAAACTTTAATGCCAATCTCATCTGATCCTAAATATCCTTTTTTCCTTTGCCTGCCACCACCCTTCTATTCTTTCTCTCCGGTTAGACTCTTCACTCACTGTAGGCACTTAGCAGCACTATCCAATAAAAATATAATGCAAGCCACACATTCAATTTTATTTTTTTTAAGGATTTTATTTATTTGACAGAGAAAGACACAGGGAGAGAGGGAACACAAGCAGGGGGAGTGGAAGAGGCAGAAACAAGCCTCCCGGCAAGCAGGGAGCCCAACATGGGGCTCGATCCCAGGACCCTGGGACCATGACCTGAGCCGAAGACAGATGCTTAATGACTGAGCCACCCAGGCGCCCCCACACATTCAATTTTAAATTTATTAGTAGCCACATTTTTTGTTTGTTTGTTTGTTTGGTGGGGAGCAAAGCAAAATTTATTGAGCAATGGTACAAAGCTCCCCAAAGGGGGAAGGGACCCAAGAGGGTTTCC